TATATATATATATATATATATATATATATGTACATGTATCTATCTATCTAGAGAAAATTCTGTCTCCGCGATATTAAAGAACGAATAAACGTCAAGAGGCAACGAGTTTCCAGTTTTTATTTAACCGGAAGCAGGATATCGGCTCTAAGGTGCGCGTTTCTTCCACGCAATCTGAAAGACACAGTTGTAACGCGTTTAACGTCTATTTTCCTCCGGAAAATCCCGTGGCCGACGAAGGAAACGACGAAGGAAATTCCTGGCTGGAAGCACGTAGCTCAGCCTTCTGAATCGAAACGAAACCCAGTTGAAATCCATTTGTCGCGCTAACGTTTCAAACTTACGCGTGCAGCGATCGTACGTTTACGAATAATGGCGTGGGAAAACGGCAGCTGCAATAAGCCGATTGAAGGAGTCCCTTCGTCGTTTAACCTCTTAGCTGTGAATGACGAGTATACTCGTCGGAGGGGGCAAACGACGAGCACACTTGCCATGCGAGAAAAGTAATTACTCGACGATCGCCGGTGGATATTGAAACCAGCATAGTGTAATTATTAATTATGTTTGTGTCGGTTGAATAGTTTAGGGGAATTTTGAAAATTCCACAAGTCCCAGTTAACGCTAGAAACTAAACGGAAATAAGGAAAAATTGAGAAACCTTATGATACAAGCTTATACATTTTAAATCCTTAAATATCTAACAAAAATTGTGAATTGATCATTTCGATCATTTTGATAATTCTAGTGCGCCATGAACATCGAATTCGAGGCCTGGAAATCATTTTTGAAAATAACATTTTATCACAAAGTCACATTTTCTGGACACGACGTCCGACAGTGTGTTAAATTAAGTTTTTTTTTTTTTTTTTTTTCGTGGAAAATAAAACACATTTGCACATCGTAGACATTTTTCTTGGGATATTTTCAGAACAGGCTTGACTAGTTCTTTTCACATCATTTCTAGATATTTTCTTGCTTTGATCGCTATCTTGATTTGTGAAAGTCAATCTGGATGGATATATAATTTCTGTGTATATAATGGAAAAATCATCTTTTATTTGTTTAAA